ATTACTGACAGATCATGATTTCCTTCATGGCTTACAGTTTCTTTTTTCAAATTAAAATCAGTTGTGATTATATGTAGCTTAACGGTTATGAATAACTGTAATAGAGCTATTCATAACAAAACCAATGTTATTTTGCTTTATGCATGTAAAGTAGTTCTATGCGTATTCTCATAAACACACACTTGTGGCAGAAAGACCATTAGCTGTCTGTGTTTTTAATGAGTGATAAATATGAAAATCTAATAACAACACATGCTTTACATTCTATAAGTCTTAAAAAATTTAAATGCACGTTAATCATGTTAAGCTGTTAAGTAGAAAAGATAGTTTGAGTATTAGCTGTATGCATGTTACTTTGTGTTTTCGCACATTGAATTTCAGCTTCAGTTCTGTTAGAAAGCGTAATTTTTTTAGTATATGAATACACATGTTGTATCTGAGCACCCTGCAGATACTAGTGTATAGAAGGTAATCTTGTTGTGAAACAGAAGTGAGTAACTTCTGTATACTTGACATAAACCATATTAGATGAAATTCAGCTTATTTGAGAAGTGTAACAGCTGTTGGTATGTAGTCAGGCGTTTTGTGAATGTAAACTGAACAAAGAACAGTCTTTCAAAAGCTTAAAATGTAGCAAAATGAAGTGCAAGACAGATTCAACAATGTTTTTTGTCAGTAGCTCATCAAAAAAAGGAACTGCATTGAAGATAATCGGCCATTTCTAACCTATGAAAATTGACAGCAATGTTATTTTCTAGCCATGTATTATTCTAGTTGAACATATGATATAAAAGTTGATAACCTGATCTGACGATATCTGAAGTTGTTGCTTTTTTTAAAAAAAAGTTTCCTGCAGAATTGCAGGGATCAGGATACTAAACTTGGAGCTGTAGGGTTTTCAGATCCCTGAGTAGGGCAAGGAAGAGGGATGGTTTCATAAACTTCCAGTCTAAAAAGCTTTCCAGACTTGATTACTCTTTTTCTAAAGTTTCTTAAGTATTTTCTTTAGTGATGTAGTAAAACAAAGAGAAAATGTCATTGTATTTAAAAAAACCTGTGAAACAGAGGCAGGGTAGAGGTTAGCAATCATCACATTGCATGTGTTTTTCTTTCAGTGAGTATGTACCTGTGTTTTCATGGAAAGTCCAGGCTGGTTTTGACCATTGGAGTAACATTGTTTTACGCAAGAGATTTAGTACTGAAGATAGAAATGGTGGGAAAAGGGTTCTTTAAGATAGTTTATATGAAGCTCCAGTGTTTTAGAAGGGTCATTGTGTGATTTAAGTTAGCAGTGTTCATTACAGAAACTGTAAATGTATTAACTTCAGTTCAACTTACCTGTTTTTCAGCCCAAGCCTTGTCAGTATTGTAACATTATTGCAGCGTTTATTGGCACAAAATGTCAGCGTTGCACCAACTCGGAGAAGAAGTATGGCCCACCTCAGACATGTGAACAGTGCAAACAGCAGTGTGCTTTTGATCGAAAAGAGGAGGGAAGAAGGAAGGTAGGCCTTGTTCCACAGCTCTAATGGCTTACGCTGACAACAGACAATGTTCCTCCTTCATAAGAGAAGGATTAACAGGAGTGTACCTTAAGTTCACTAATATTAGGTTAAAGTTGCTGTGCTGTGCTTTACAATGTTTGAATTAAATTTTGCAACTTGGGATTGTTACATTAGCTACTGAGTTAACTTACTTTTAATTAAATCACTCATTTTAAAAATAAGCTTGTGTGTAAGCTGACAGTCATAGCCAGGGAATAGAGGTTAAGCAGCTGAATGGTTCTTGGTTCTTGGTGCTTTGATTTTATTTTATTTTTTATTTTTATTTCCCCACCCGTTGGATCTTACATATGTCTGTAACTTGAATCTGTCGCTTTACTTCTTCCGATTTGCCTGCCTTGCCTTAAAAAAAGTACAGCACCAGAGGGGTAGACTGCTCTGAGCAGCCCTTTGTGTTCTGTTTTCTTAAATAGCTTTGGTGAGTGCCACTTTCTCATTCCAGAAGGTGCTGAGGAAATGACCTCAAAAGCCTCTTGCCTGAACCCAAGAATAATGCTGTTTTTACAGAAGAATTTACTTGTACAAGTAACACGTTGGCTGGACATCTTGATTATGCCTGGAATATGATGGGTTGAGAGAGGGTACATGGTGTCTAAACTAAAAATGATTTGTCCCTTTAAAAAGTTATTGTCACTTCTGTGATATAGAGTGAGTCCGACATTTGCTAAGATCACTTTCTAGCATAACTTCAAAAGACAAAAAGAAATGGAATAAGATTGACTTTACTAAAATAATGTGCATATATTGGAGATATGGTAGTGCTGTTTCATACAAAAGAGATGTCTGGAATTTCCCTAGAGATAACAGATGAATTGAAACACTTTTTTCTTACAAATACTGATGTACGTCTTTCTAGTGCAAGTATACTTGGAAAAAAAAACCTGCTATGAATTGTTTCCCAAAAGGTTGATGGAAAGTTGTTGTGTTGGCTCTGCACACTGTCCTACAAGAGAGTGCTACAGAAGACGAAAGAACAGAGGAAGAGCCTAGGATCTTCACATTCTAACTCCTCATCCTCGTCTCTTACTGAGAAAGACCAGCATCATTCAAAACACCACCATCATCACCACCATCATCATCGTCACAGCAGCAGTCATCATAAGTAAGTATTTCAACAATTAAAGTAGCCGTTGGTACTTCTTCCTCTCTAGCATTCTGTTAGTACTGAGATCAAGTCAAAGGAAGTAAGAAATACTGTTTAAAACATGGCATCAAAAGCGGTAGCAGAATGTTGTTCTCCCATGGTCTCTCAAAATCCTTGTATTCTTATGGTTGGGATGAAGGGAGGTCAGCAAAAAGCAGAAATTCTTGGTGGTCATCAAACTAGTCGATGTTAAAATTGGTAGCAAGTCTAGAAAAAAACCCCATAGAATGGCTACAGAAACAAGTTACTTAGAGATAAACTTGAATTCGGCTTTCTAAGCAGTAACTGCTGTGTGATAACTGCTATTTTACATACATTTACCATGGGTTAAAAGGGGAGTGTGAGCAGTGAGCACAGAACAGCTACTTTGCTCAGAATCCTCACCCTTACGTACTTCCTTCTGACTTGTTTGTACACACATACTTGCAGTTAATGGAGAAGCAGAAGCAAGGGTGTGGGGTCACCCTCAATCTAGGACCAGTTTGTATCTCTTCACTGGTTTTTATAATCAAATCTCACTGGAATAGGTAGCCTGTTAGTGGCTGTCGTACAGACATAGGAAAATAGCACTGTCATTTCCGTTTCTGGCACTCTGATCACATTTCACATACTTTTGTCCCATCTTTTGAAACTTCTCAGCATGCCATCTGTGGCCATGGCCTATGCAACTTACCAGCCCTAACAAACATGCACAGTTTATTTAGTCATAAATCACAGAATTGATTTGTTTTTTTATGCCACTATAATAGTCATGATTCTTATTTTCGTTGGTAGGCTTATGGCAACGTAACTTAACTACTTATTTTTGTGCTGCTTAATAAATACTACAGCTGCAATGGTAACGACCCTGTCCCCAGACACAAACATTTTGATTCTAAGCTTCACTTTTCTAACGTTTATAATTTTCCATTTTGACTGAAACTTGCCTGACTAAGCGTGATTTAGATGGAATCAAAATAAGCTGGAATGCTACTGGGAATGAGGAGAAGAGAAATGCACAAACTTTCACTTAAAAAAAAAAAAAAAAAAAGAAAAGATTTGTTTTTTTAGGAATTTGAAGAAGAAAATTATTCTTGCCATGCAGAGAGTTATTGTACTGTTCCTGTGCTGCTGAAAATTGAGTTACAGCAAGCTAAATCAAACAATGTATGTGGCAGAGATACAGTAAGGATTAAATAAAAATAAGTTAGCTCTTTACTACAGAATAAAGCTTCTAATATACTCAGGAGTTAGAAAAGTAATTATATCTCTATACAGATGACAATGTTCCGGGTTTAGCACCCTTTTTCTATAGGCTGCCATGGGTCCAATTGCTTCTGGTCCAATAAATACGACTTTCTTT